AAAAAACGAACTGGGGATAAAACCGATGTTAACCAATAAGCCCAGATTTGTTTGATCATAGTTTTGACCTTTTCTTTCCGTGAGCGATAACTATACTTCAGTGCACAGTCTGAACTCTGTTTGACTGTTAATAGACACTCAGAATGAATAAACTTTAAGCAAGCATACTGCTCACAGCATCCAAAATACTGTAAAGTGTAAAACAAATGGAAACTTAACTACATTTCCTCTCTCTGTTTCCAGTCTCTGTCCACGAATATTGGTCCCTGTATAGGGCTGTAGCATATTAACTCTAATCATACAGGAAACACAACCATCTCGATTAGCACACACTAGAAAGTGATGGGGACCACTCTTTCAAATAAATCACCATGTGTCACAATTTGGCATAAACTCTGATCCTTATGAATAATTCATTTTCTGTGTATTAATAATGCATGTCCTTTCTTCCTATTGGAATTCTGCCTGACACAGAATGGCTGTCGCTTACCAATTCCTTCAATCGACAGGATGGAGCAAGTCTAAATTAGAATGGTGCTTTCAAATGCTCCCTTTAAAACTGTAATTCTCATCCAGCCTATAAGGTCATTGAAAATACAAAATCTCTGTTATTTTTCTTTCTTTGCATAAGCGTCCCTCAGTTAAGAACCCCAACGATGGTCATCCTTTCCCCATGAGAACATAGCAGAGAGGAAAACCAAGGAAACTTTGGCAGAGTCGATAGGAATTGGCTAATGTTGTTACCCGTCTCCCTAATTATACATGGGACATAATTGCTAAAACAGGCTAGCCAGCCGAGAGGGAGGAAGGAAGGATGGAAGAGGGGAAGGAGGAAAATAATTGACTAAAACAAATCAGGCAAGAGCTTTATAATAATTACCAGTGTTGCACCCCACCAAGCTTTCTTTCAGAGCTCAGTTTCCTACTGCCAAGTATCTTTTCAGTTTTGGGTAAAATGAGCTGGCGCCTAAGAAAAGTCCGAAGACCAATTAAGAGCACGATGCTGATGACATACATTCACAGAGAAAAGCAGGCATCACGCCCTGAGTGGGGTCACCCCACCACGCTGCCTGAGAAAGCTCAGGCAGGAATTACTAAAGCAAGTCGGCCCCTCTCAAGAGAAAGTTTGGAGACCAGAGGAGGGAACTCCCCTCCCATTCCCCCAGCCCCTCAGCCAGGCGCACAGAACTCTCCAAAACAGCAGCAAGTCTTGACATGGTAGAGAACTAAAGGAGTTCGATATTTTAAAACAAAACAAAAGGTCCTTTCAGTACCTTTTCCTTCCTCGTTTCATTTCCACATCTTCACCAACGCTCAAGCCCAAAGACAGGTGGGACGGGTTCTCCGAAGTCCCCCCACTGCGGAGCTCAGGGGGAGTTTGAAGGAGCCCTCCTGCCCCAGCATCTGTCCCCAGGTGCCCTCAGGGTCATGCATTCTTCCAGCAGGCATTCAGGGAGCGCGGGCTGGCTGGGGTCTTATTCCACGCTGAATAATCTTCCAGCCGGTCTCCCACAGGTATTCTAGAGACGAAGTCCCCCACCAGGGTAAGATGAGCGAAAATTCAGACATGGGTGTCCACTCGAAGGTGGCCAGGTCAGAGGCCACCCCACACCGCCCTCGCCAACACCCGAGGCAGAGGTGGGGCGCTGACCAGGACAAGGAGACCTTTCGCTTGGCAGAAACCTCTCCCTGGGGTCAGAGGGTCACGACCTGGTTCACACGGACAGCGTCAGTCCTGGCTCAGCCAGCGGACCCACCCCCTGGAAAAGTTCAGTTGGCAGCGAGTGGGAGGAGAGGGGTCCCAGGGGCAGTGGGTGAGATGGGCACCCCCGGGGTTCTCCGCTGCAACTCCCATGGCTACCGAGAAATATTTATTTGGAGTGGATGGGCTCCGGTGGCCACTGCAGCCGAGCACGCGGCCACCAGCAGAAAGCCAAGTCATCCGAGAGATAAAGATAGAGCCGTGACATACCTAGACGCTGGCCTGACTCCACACGCGGCGACGCGGGCTCCGGCTGAGCAAGCCCCAGCGGCTCGCAGCGCACGGCGGCCACCAGGGACTGCGTGCCCCTCCGGGGATGCTGGCGGAGGGGACAGACCATTGAACGCGCGATCAGCAAAAGGGAAGGATCCGGACTTACCCCCAGGCGTCTGCTGCGGATCCTCACGTACCCTTGCTTCACTATGTCATTAAAATTGGAAGCCATCCCAGGCAGCCGACGACCCCCTACCCAAGCGCACGCACCCTAAGCGGCTCTGGGGAGGGCTGAGCGCAGGGCCGAGAAGCGCTGGGAGGAGAAAGTTGGCGGCGGCTCGGCGAGGCTCTAGAAGGCGCGCATCACTTTCCCAGTCCCCCAAACCCTGAAAGTGGGCGGCCGCCTTGCAGCCACTTTGGGGGAGCGCAGAGAGCGCGGCGCAGCGAGG